TCGCACGATATAATGGGAAGAGATCGTGATATATCTCTGAGGGATGTACCGACTGGTTTCGTTTGCCAAAAAAATGATCCTTAATTATATCCAAGAAATACATGATACATCGTGATTACAGGAGGTTGTATATGTCTCTATTTGTTTTAGAAGTCCGACTTCCTCTCGGAAACTTTCCCCATGTCCCGTGCCTGCAATTTGTCTCATTATGGCATTCGTATCTACATGCATTCAAGGTGTATTGAAATCAAAGTCATTCTCTCATCTTGTTTCATTCATTACCTCTTAATTGAATTTACACCGGTCAAAACATTTTGATACCTGCAATATCTGAATACTGTCTGTGCTCCAATACTAACACTATAAGCGAGATTCTAAACCATTATTAACTATTCCCGACATGTTGCTTGGGTGCTCAAATTCAATGGTTCTGACATCTTTCACATATTCATATCCTGTGAAGAAGCTAATCATCTTTCCACAGCTCATAACTTCTAAATTATGCATGAATATTCGACGTTAAGAGCATGGATTAACGTACTACATGATCATTGTCATTTGATCGACCATTGTTGTTTAAATTTGTTCCTAGGTTAGGGTGTATTTGGAATCCATTTTGATGAAATATTACTCTGTAAAAATCTGAATAACAAAATAAACATATAATGATAAGTAATTGCCAACTTGTTAGTGTCTGTGACATTCTTTTTAGTTACAAGTGTAGTTGACAACTTATTCTGTTTGTGTTTAACGGTTTTTGCCATTCTATTCCTCCCACAGATTGCCCGCAACATTACAACGAATGAAATGGCAAATTCAATGCGTTATGGTTATCTCAGAGGAGCGGGAGGCCGATTCAGAAACCCGTATGATCATGGCTGCAAGAAAAACTGTGCAGATTTCTTTATAAATAGATACAACGAAGACGTGGAGTATAATGAAGAATCAAGTCAATCTGAAGGGACTTCAATGATGCAAATGGCTCGGAACTCAAACATGTTGAACGGAATCAGCCATGCTCATCAAACAAATGGAAATGGCCATGTAGCAATCGACGTGGCTAACAAAAACACACATCATGGGCATGTTCATTCTTCTCATTGTAGCCACAGCCAAAATCACAGTAGAAAAACTGATTCTGCTCCTTTAGGTTTGGGTACCGGTTTAGGACGAAATGCTGCTCGTTCTGCAACTGCATCGTGATAATATTGTGCCATAGGTTTGAAAAGACGTCCTTTTTTCCCCCTTGTAAACGCACACGTTTAGCTTCTTTAATTCAATTAATTGCTGCTGCTTATTTCTGGTACAATTTTTCATTTCTTCTGTTGGTGTTTCATAGCCAACTTCAGTTATTTTTTATATGATCACTTATTTAGTAGGAAAATGCTTACTATACATCACCATTGACAGATTTTTTTACAGATTGACGAGATGGTGATAAATTGAATTAAAACTGTTAGAATCTCTTCACCACTTGACGATTGTGCTTATGTAATGTGGTGAAAAGATTTTGACAATTTTAATTCAAACTATCAAGTGGTGAAGAGATTTTAACAGTTTTAATTCAATTTATCGCCATCTCGTCAATCTGTAAAAGAATCCGTCAATGGTGATATACAATAAGCATTTTACATATTATTTTGACGTGGCAAATTCAAATTGGTCCTTTTGAGTACAGATCCAGTGTCGCATTTTTCATATAAATTTGATGGACGGTAAAATGAAGAAGCAGACATTAATGGAGGTGAATTCTTCAGCCAACAGAAAGATACAAATTCACGATAATGATGATTTTCAGCCTGCTTCTCTACATATACTCGTACAAGAGAAGATACCAATCGAAATTCAGGAAACATAAAATGCATAAACATGACTTGAACAATTAGAAGTAAAGAAACCCAAAAGCTTGAGAATTGGTTTGTCATCTGTTATTTAAGTTGGCTCTTTTCTTCTTCAAACCCCATTCCAATTTTGCCTGGATGATATTCTCATTACAGTATTCTCTGCTCAGATAACGAAATATGTTTGATAGAATATATAAGCATTGATCAAGAACAAAGAAAAACTTCTTGTGTTTATTTGCTGCTTAGAAGGTGCTAAAAGATTTATGATTGAAAAACTCATCCTCTTTTCTTTCTTTATTTATCAACATCCACTATTAATTTGAGCATCTGGACAGTTGGATCTATGCAGCTTACACTTGGTTTTGTGTTTGTTTTTCAGAACCCAGTTTATACATTTGTTAGAGATTATGGTTCTGTTGTCCATGTTTTCGGGGTTTGTTAACTCTACACTGTGGCAGGGGCGGAGCTAGGGTGGTAGAGTTTTGGGGCAAAATTAAATCGTGTGGCAAAAGGTGGGTCTGCTGGAGTCCTTGGTGGGGCAACTGCTGCCTGGGTAGGAGGTTTTGAAATTGAGTGCGGGGGCAGTTGACCCCATTGGCCCCACTCTACATCCGCCTCTGCTTTGTGGTAGATATTGAACAGATTTAGAATATAAAATACTATTGAGGAAGTAGATAGTTATCACAGTGATTCTGTCCTTTCTTGAATTGTTATATTCAAGGATTTTAAAAGGGGTTTACAAAGTAAAATCCTTTAATATTTATGACTTTGAAATTTAATAAAGTAAAAGAAAACTTGGCAATGCACGCTTGAAAAGTATGAAACACGGATTTAGAAAATGAATAAATACTGAGCAAGTCGCTAATTATCATATCGCAGCTATTGTGTCTTGTTTCAAATCCTCGTATTAGTGATTCCTTGAAGGCCGCAAATGAAGAGAAAATTAACACAAATCTTCTCTTTTGAGACTAGGCAATATACGTGTGGACATTTTGCCCCTTTTAGTATACTGTTCGTTAATCTTCTACGGAGAAATGGGAACAGTTTAGGATTCAGATCAATTTAGTTCGAAGTTACCCCATCTCCAAAAATTACTTTCAAGAATATATCAATGTTGGGAATTTACTTAACATGCACAGCGGAAATAAAACAATTTTCAATTCTCAAACGAGGATCTGCAATGTGTTTAGATAGAAACTGTGATGAGAATGATACCTTTGATGAATTCCACAAACTCTTTTGCTTTATCTTGAACTCCAATGATCACGATCTGCAATCCAAGCTGTCCAATTGTCCAGCCTCCAATGGTGATCCACACAGAGAATAAGAGACTAGGCAATATACGTGTGGACATTTTGCCCCTTTTAGTATACTGTTCGTTAATCTTCTACGGAGAAATGGGAACAGTTTAGGATTCAGATCAATTTAGTTCGAAGTTACCCCATCTCCAAAAATTACTTCCAAGAATATATCAAGATTTGCACCATTTGGACACTCTAATTTGTCTGAACAAAAATTTTGAAATTCACACAGGAGGCGTTCGTTACTTTTTCACATAAGACACGGTTGCAATTTACCCCAGTGTAGGCATATTAAGAAGGATAAGATAGAATCGAGAATACAATGCCAACAAGTATGTGGCGGTAAAGCCACTTTTGACAAAATCAGTGAATTAATTGTAAAAGGATATGAGCAATTTCCTTCTTGTTAAGTAATTGAATGGTGAAAGAAGGTGGAGAAATTTTGCTTCTCTTCTCTCACTCCACTGCCATACTTTCCACCTCCATTGTCTTCTATATGTTTTCCTTCCTCTAATTATTATCCTCATTTTTTAGGCAAAATCCCATTTGGAGGAAAAAGAGAGAGTTTTAGAGAGAAAATCTTGTTGCTATATTGAAATCCTTTTACAATTTGTCCGTGGTTTGTTCACGCAAAATTTTGGTGTTCATTATATTTCATTTATACTTCAGTTGTAATTGTGTGCCACATACCACAACGTTACAACAAAGTAGAGATTGTACTTTTTGAGGATAAATTAAGGGAATGAGAACTTTGAGGGTTAGGACTTGTTCTGTGTAGAATTAGCAAAGGTCATGTTCATAAGAGTTCTACGGGTTATATAAGGGAGGTTTTGGCTATAACCGACCCGATCAATTGTGGTTGCTAAGAATCTAGTTGCTCTTCTATTAGATCAGTTGAAGAACCATTAATTTAGAGTAGGAAAAAAAAAGATTTATGTAGCCAATCCCAAATTTAATGGGAACGCTTAGCTTGTTGTTATCTTGTTGGTATCAGTGGTCTTTTTGGTGCTCCTTCTAGGACATATTTGCTTGAGAAACATAACCATGCTCTCATACCAAATGTTGAACAAGGATCTCCAATCACCAAGGATTCAAGCTCAGTATCAACCAATCGACCACTACAATGTCAAGCCAAAACCATAAACCAATGCACCCCAAAACCCGGTTGCTCTTTCTCAGATTGCCACAAAGGGATATGCGTGAAGTTTTTATTTCAACGTCAAGTTTAGCCACAGGCCAAGGAAAGGAGAATAAACAAAGCATGAAGCCAGAAAGTCAGTAATAGAACTGCCGTTTTCTCTTAACCAAAAGAAGGCTAGTAAAAAACCAATTTCACACACACAATGAGCAACAATAATGGGCAGCATAAATAAGGCAGACGAGCTTTAGGTTAAACGGTAATAAGGCCCAATAGGTAGTATAAGTGGGCTGTCAACCAAAAGTCCATCCAAGGGTTTTGGGTTGAGCCATGAGTAACACTAATTAAAGTGAAAATTACATTGATCCAAATTTTTTAAGATTTGATTTCAAATATCAGATATTATGTTTATTATGTTAGATATCTTATTATAATTTAATTTGATAAAACTCAATTCCAACTTCCACCAACCCTAAATCTCTATCCCTTCTACCCTTCTCTCTCTCTCTCTCTCTCTCTCTCTCTCACGCGCGCGCGCGCGCAACACGCAACCTCCAGAATGGCTCTCTCGCATACAACCACCAGAAAGGAGGAGCTCCACTACGACGATGATACTGATGCAGTGGATTGAGCGACGGTGCTCACGCCGCTGTACGCAGGGGCCGAATAGGTTCCTCGTTGTACAGCTGCGCTTACCGAGCAAGCTTACCATTGCGCATGACGAAGAGGACCTTTAAGATGTGGAAGATCAGTTCATTGGAGTCGGATGCTGGGGTAAATTTGGTGGCGTCGCCGATGTTGGAGGAGGCAGTATGGATCTTCGATTTGGGTGGCATTTTGGGAAGTTCAGGGGTGGAGCTTTAGTGATGGATTTGGTGTGGGAAGAAAGTTCTAGGAGGTTTTTTAAAGTTAGGTAAAACACTCAATAAGTTGATCTTTGGGGATTCACATCTGTGTGTGGGAGGAGACCAGAAATGGAAGATACAGTCGCAACTGTGCCAAGGTTTCTCAAAATTCCTCTGTAGATGCTCATTGATGCTCGCGTGATTATGAAATCATAGCAAAGGCAACAGATCTATGTGTGGGAGAGCCAACTATTGGTGAGATCATTGTTAATTCTTTATTTGTGGCAGAAGGAGCTAGGGAAGAGGTTCTAGATGGTTCGGGTTCTAAATCAACAATTGTTATTCAGTGGGACGGAACCTCACGTGAAAGAGTCAGGCGAAGTGTTTTTCGGGTGGATTATGTTCCGCTTTGGTAATTCACACGTGTGTGTGGGGGAGGAGACCAGAAAGGAAAGATGCAGTTATAACTATGCCTAGGTTTCTCAAGTAGTTGATCTTGGGTTGTAGCGGTGATGACGGTGGTTGTGGCGAAGGCGTTGGTGGTACGTTTATGTTGGTGGTAGTGCGGCGGTCGCGGGTGGTTGGTGGTGGAGATGGTTGTG